CATTGTATTCAAAACAATAATATTATTCTATTCGAGCTTATATAGGACTTATCTTTGTTTATAAAATAAAATAATTCTGCTTCCGGTTTTTTCGTATGAGTATAAATGCGCACGATTAAAATGATTTCGTAGTGTAAAATATAAAATTCAGTTTCTCCGTTTAATTCTACTTTATTATTTTTGCTCTCAAAGATCTACAATATGTAAGAAGGAAAAAATTAATTACTTCGCATTGATTGACTCAATATTAGAATATAACACATCATCATAATTTTACGATTTCTTTCAATTACGTGTAAAATGTTTTCTAGAAATAGTTGTTTTTCTTTTTATTTCTCACGCGATTTCTCTTGATTTTAAGATTTATTGAATCGCATTTTACTTCGCTTGAAACAGGAATATCTTCTACTGAGGAATTGATTTTTAATTTATCGACGAGGATTTCTTTGACAGGAAATAAAGCGTCGCGACATGATTTTCACACGACATCGGGATGCGTTTTTCCCGGTGGTCTCGAGCGGCTTTTTCTCCCTCTCGCGTGCAATCGCGCGCCTGTGTCGCGTCCGCGACGATGCGCTTAAATGATATGTGTGTGTAGATATATATATACATATATATGCGAGACGAGAGTTTAGACGAGGTAGGCAGAGGGGTTTCCGGCGAGCGTTAACAGAGTAACAGAGTGATGTAATGAGGCCCGGAAGCAGGCAATTTGCTGCCCGCGGCGGCCACAGTTGCGCGAGACAACCTGCCCGGAGTACCTTCTTCTTGATATCGCGGTCCAGCCTTCTTCGTATCGGACACCTGACCGAATAAACCTGCGGAAAGTGATGTCGTGAAAAAGCGCGAATAGGGAAAACAATACTACGCGGCCATCGCGTGCGAGTGCGTGCGAAGAGAAATCGTCAACGCGCGTCGAGGAGAGTAATTATCTCGTATGATGAACGCGCGGCCCGCTGGCGCAAACAACGTTGTTTTGTTCGATATAATGAGTGTGAATTATATGCGACAATGGACGTCGTACAATTAGCATGAGATACAAGTTTCTGAATCTATCAGGTATTGGAGATTAAGTTCATCGATATTACGCTGGTTTTAACTTTTGGTAACTATAAAATATTAAGAATCATCGAGGAGAGAGATACGAAGTGATGTAGCAAAATACTTTTTTTAATTTGCACGTCATCATCACTTTTTCATTTCAAAAAGAAATTATCTTCAATTAGATGTCTTACAATTAAAATCAATTTTGAAGCTCGCACTTATTGCGTTGTCAAAATATTTGCGGAAATTTTATTAGCTTTATCAGTATCTACAACTGAAAAAAATTTCTGGTTGAAAATGGAATCACGAGTCAAAATTTTCTGATTAAATTTATTAGAATTCTAGTTGAGAATTTTGGTTGATACAATATTTCTGATAAAATCTATTAGAATTTCTAGTTTTATCAGAATAATTATATCAATCAGAATTCTAGTTATCTCAACTAGAATTCTAGCAGATTTGACCAGAAAATTTTTATTCGTCCATTTTCCTTCAGAATTACTACTTAATCCAATCAGACTCAGGGTATAAAAATTTTATAGTAAAAACACTAAAAAGATTAGAACGGAAACGATTGATTGAGAACGGCACACTGTAGTACACTATAGTAAATAAATTCTCAGTAGCGTAAAAATGGCGACCGCCCAAGCAATCCGCAGACTACAGTATCTCCGACGATCGATCGCTCGATTCGGCTTTTAAACTGTCAGACAGAACCGCAAAGACAATCCGGCTGCGCGCTTATCATGCCGCGGAACAGCGTGACTATGTGACAGTTTTGTGATTAGATTGACCTCAATACACGTTGGACATCCGGACGTACCCACAAGAGTGCTTTTATCCTTAACCATCCCGAATGTCAGCGAATGCTTCGCGATAACAAGTGATTCGAGATAATCGAAAAAAGTTGCATCTTGTCGGCTGGACTATTCTGGTGGATGATTCACAGAAAAATAATGTTTAAACGATCAGCGCAGCAACAGTAAAACGTGTACAGGTCCATCGCGAAAATTGTCACGGTGATTGAAGGTAAACAAATGACAATCGAAATAGATAGAGAAAAAGTCACTTTTTATAATTAAGATAACACTATCGAAAGGATTTCGAAAACCTATTATGGAACATGTCGGAATGGATTCCGAACGAAATTATTTCGTTTTCCTTAGAAAATACAATAGAAGTTTAGGGAATAATTGAATAATTCCGATCGGAATCCATTTCGAATAATTCTATAATATGTACTCATATTACTGACATATGTTTCTATTAGAAATTGACCTGTCTTTAATTTATGTCGTTTTATGTATACACTGAAAGAAAAGATTAGTTGAATATGGCATAACATTTTTTATTGATATTCTATACTGACATTGCGAATAGGCTAAAAATTAGTAACCAAAAATTGGCTACTGTAGCCAATTAAACGCTGTGCCATATTTTATCATCTAATTTGCTGCAACAGCCAGTCTTTTCTTTCACAGAGAGTGTAGGAAAATATAAATATACAAAATCAACTACTTACTTAGTGTAAAATTTTTTAAGTAAAATTTTACAACACGTACCTAGATCATTTAAATCACGAGTATGAAAGACCAGAAATAAGTTTAAATATAGATTGATTTAAGTACTTTTTATGCAATATAAATCAATATAAATCAATTTATCAATTTTAATGAGAAAATGATAACCTTAGAAATAAATGTAGCTATTTAGCTTTCTATTAATAACTAAGGTCAAATAGAAAGTGAGTCGATAGTTTGTGTAAATACGTATGAAAAGTTGAAAATACTTAGATACGTACAATAATTTATATTTTAAATAGTAATATCATCTCGTATGATCATTTTCATTATTTTGTCTGGCTGATTATTTAAAAATAGTACGATAAGAATTTCACGTGCTTGAGCGAATCACACGTGGATCGGTAATATCGTGCGGCATCATTTCGTTTGAATAATGATTTATGTAATACGGGAAGGGATAGCGGAAGTGGCAGATTTTCAAGATTAGACGGAAGCGGACTCGCGATAAACGACAAGCTTCAATATTATATGTAGGTAGTCTCTCTTATCTCCGCGCTCTTAGCGTTGCGGAATTGCGGGGAGATACGATCGTAACGGGTCTCATGCAAATTCGATTGTGAATCGCTTTCGCAATTTTGACGACCGTAAGTTCGAGGCCGCGCCGTCGATGAAATGTAGATGATAGGCGTCCCGGCATGTTTTCTAGATTACGCGACTTCGATTAGGAGCGCTCCGTTATTACGTGTTACATGATATCTCCCAAATGTATGTTTCTAGTATTTGCAGTGCCTTCGAAGCGTTATAAAGAAAACGATAATAAAATGCAAAGTATCGCATATAATTCGCGACATATATATATATATTATAT